TGTTTTCTGCTGGTTCTGTTTACCTTTTCAGGTAAATAATTCAGTCCATTTCTGGGATCCATCCAGTTTCAGTTTCTATTTCTGTTCATGAATTGGATTATTTACTCTAGTTATTTTTTCAGGATGAAAGCTGCAACATAAAACTGCTCTGAGTTTTAAAACTAACAGTTCTTTATATACTATATACAAATAAAATGTATTATTATCATTGTAAAAGTTGATATTTTTTCACAAATCAAGAATCTTTTATCATCATAAAAACGTGAAATGTTTATTGAGACACTGGCTCAGAATGCACACAAAAAAGAAGAGAATAGCACCCTAGAGAAGAACCTTAAAAATATTAAACATTCTTAAAAAACAATTGGAAGAGAAACTGTTTGGTGGTTTTTACATAAAGTGCAGCTTGAGTAGTCTGCTTGGTTGGGGCTCCTTGTTCTTTGTTCTGTTTGAACACTCAGCTTGGACCAAGTTTTATCATTCAGCCATTTAGTTGCGTTGAAGGATTTGCACAAACAGTATGACGGAACCACTATAGGAAGATTAAATGCTGCAAGTCAAGAACTCAATGTTTTAGCCAATTTGTATAATAAGCTGAACTTGACTATATTGTTTGATAGTTAAGATCAATGGATATATGTTGCATTGAATTGATTTGTAAAATGCCTTAAGGTGACAATTTGCGAATTAGTGCGATATAAATAAACGTGTCTCACAGAGGAGTCTGGTTTTGGCTATTAACTATAAGTAAGGGGAATTATTAATAATTAAATTGGTATTTTATATCAAAATGACCAAGTTGGGCACCACCTACATTAGAAACATAACAGCCAAATAGTTCATTTTCTGTTATTTTTTGTAAATATCTGCCTGATAACATTGTGAAAAAAATTCCTGATAATGATTCAGATGAATTTGTTGGTGTTAACAGTAGGTAAATCTTTCTTTGTCTCAGAAATGTCTGAAAGCTCAGAATGGAAGAAGGCCTTGACCAACATCATAGAAAAGCTCAGAGAACGGCACTATAAAAAGATGCTGGAATGTCTGGAGAAAATCCCTAAAAGTGTGAAGGATGACACACCCAGAGAAGAGATGACTCAAACCATCATTGAGCATTATGGAGAGGAGGAGTCCATCGCTGAAATCAAGAGGATCATGGATGAAGAGATACCGAGGAAAGATGCTCCAATTCAGGACCTGCTGTATCCGTTTGTGGAGAAACAAGGTGAGTTTATGCTGCTGGATCAGTTTCAGGTTCTGCTCAACATTCAGGGTCCAGAACAGACCCTGAGGAGGCGGGTCAGGATTGTTCTGGTGGTCTGTTGTTGGTTGGGTGTTTGTAATGCACCTTTAATCCATCACTGAACCCACCTAATGAATCTATCAGTCCAAAGTTGAAACCAAGGTTCCTCCTCACTTCTGGGTTCAGGATGTTCTGCATTCGGGTCTGTAACCAAAGCAGGAAGGAGTTCAGAGCTGATAACCAGTTGATAATAAAGGCAAAGATCCAGAAATAATAACAGCATGAGTTCATAGAGCAGTGATGAAGATGTTTATGAATGAAACTTTAATTCAATAACTGCAGAGCTTTGACTGTTCAAACTGTTTTTCAGGAAAGAAGAGGAAATCTGGACCAGAGTCAGAGGAGCAGCAGGAGTCTCCATCCGGTGGGTGAAAAACCTGAACTCTCCCTTTAAATGGGTTTAAAATAACTCCATTAAGAACAATGAACAGTTCCTGCTGATCTTAGAGCTCCCCCTGCTGGTTAGAAAGTGAAGTTGACTCATTGTGATTCATTTCTCAAAATGTGTTTTGCTGCTGGTGAAAAACCTGCAGTTAGATTGATATCAGTTCTGGATCGGCTTACGGATCAGAACCAGATTAACTCATGATGAGCCACCTCTTTCTGTTTAACAGAGTTAAAGAAGAAGAAGGAGAAGACTGAGAGTGATGATGGTTAGTGAGTTTTAACTCCCATGTCTTCAAACTGGGTTTTTCTGACATGTTATGTAATAAACTTGTGATAATGAGTAAATAACTCCTACAGACTATTAACATCAGAATCACTCAAACATGCCTGTACTGTTTTAGAAGAAACAAAATCTGTTTTCTTATTTAAAATTTAATGGATACCACATACACACACACATAATGTTATACAATGTTTAAAGGCGCGGTATCATGTAAAACGCACTTTATTTTTCCATCATGTTATGACGTTTTCTCTCATCAAAAACATTCCTGGACTGTCGCTTTGATTCTTTCATGTTTGAGAAATCCTTTAATCTCCATGGCAACCATTCAGCTGTCAAAATGATGGACCTAGCCCTATCTCTGAGGAGGAGCTGTGTCTGGAAGGCGGGGCCAGGTCCATCCAGACGTTTAGCCTGACCATGGCTCCTGAGGTCAGGTCTCTCCTGATATCATTAATCTGAGCTGCTGATGATCCGCTGCCCTTCATGTTTAACAGGGTTTGAGGAGAACAACGCTGAATCTGATTCAGATTCTTCAGGTGATGAAACTCAAGCTGGTGAGTTTAATGAATCAACCTCACAGAGTAAATACAGACAGAATCAGGTCAAAGTCTGTTTATAAAAGATCAGAGCAGAAAATGCCTGACTCTTCTTCTTCTTCTTCTACAGACGATCCAGGAAGTCCTCAGTCTGAGAAGGTAACCATCACAGATCGGAGTTTCCCTGGTCCCACTATCTCTGATTAGTTGGATTGCTGTCAAATAAAAGCAACTAGTGCCAAAAACTCCTTTAAAAAAAAGACAACTGGAATAATGTGTGGCAATGATGTCGGGCTTTTCTTCCATCCAACTGATCAGCGCCGCCCAGCGTGTTGAAGTTTCTAAGCTGACAGCTTTACGCTCTTATAGAAATATGTTTGACATCATCCATGATGTGAAGTCCAGCAGCTGACATCGGCACAATAATTCAGCATTAGATCATTTTTTGCAGCCTGTTTTGAAATGTATATTTGCGAGGTTAGAGGAGAAGCACTTCTCTACATGTAAAATATAAAATACAATTCAGACAATGTCCGAGTGTCAGACATGTTTTCACAACATGTAGACTTCTCAATGTAAACTATCACTTCCAGTTCTGACAGTAAACCTGCAGATATTGTAATGTAACGTGAGTCACAGGACTAGCATAGAGTAGCATTCAGCGTTAGCTTGTGCTAAATCACAAATCATGTTCGTGCCAAACAACTAAACAAAACACTCGACATCATTATGTTCTTACATGGCCATCATCTGTAGATTAGAGATGAACAGTAGGAGCAGAACCTTCCGTCAGTCCGTCTTTAGATAAATCCTGCCGTGTTTTGTTGGTAGTTTTCACAGGGACATTGCAAGCAAAAATAAAAAGCATCCATGCAGCTCTGTTCTCCGTCACTTGATGAAAACGTGTGTTTCTGGAGCTACGGGGGCATTTGGCATACTGTGCTCCAGAACACTTTATGACTTTGTAAAGTGACATTGCATGTATGTTTTAGATATAAATCCACTTCAAAAAATGAAAGCTAAGTGGAAAGTATGCCTACCCAATAATTAAGGGTCTGTTCTTTTTCAGAAGGTTCTTCATTGGGTGAGTTGGACACTTAGTTTTTATTAGAAATATTCTATTTTGTTCTCATGTTGGAATTTGCTTTGTGAATTTCTGTAATTTCTCTGAACTTGTTTCCAGAGACAGAGCATCAAGCTGCTGAAGGAAAGTAGAGTCACTGATGGAAAACCTGTAGGTGGAAAGATTATTCAGAAATGTGCTCTGCGTACATATGAAACCAAAGAGAAGCAGGAGAAGAAGTTCTTCCATCTGGCAGTCGCTGATGAGACCGACTGCATCAAAGTCATGGTTTATGGAGAAGAGCTATTTAATAAAGTAGAAGAGGGACAACTTTACCTTTTCACAGATGTGGAAGTGGATGTAGTGTATGGTGAGATGATGATGAAGGTGATAAAGCACAGCAAAATCTCAATGACTAACGGCATTAAAGTTCCCAAGACTCTGGAGCTGCAGAGTCCATTTTTCCCCATCAAGAAGATCAAATCCTTTCAGGAGGAAACAGCAGTGAGTGTAAAAGGAACTGTGATTGAGGTAAGCAATTACTGCAGATAACAGATTCATAAGAGATTTGTGGCTCTCTGTGTTTTATTATGCTGCACTGAAAATGTTGGATCATTTCCAGGATTGGTTTATAATCATGTTTTGGTCCTCAGATTGATGCAGGTCCTCAGATTGAATTCCAGAAAGATGGCATCAACGTAGATACACGCGAGTTCAAACTTGAAGATAAAACCGGTTCCATCTGGATCAAGCTGTGGCGCAAAGACCTCGAGCAGCTGAGAGGAAAATCCGTGGGAGATTTGGTCAGAGTGACCAACCTACGAACGAACCATTACTGTGAGACGGTGTCTCTGAACTCCACCGACTTCACCAAAATTCATCAGGTACCGGTTATTATTCAGACTGCAGGAAATCCAGGCCTGAACCAGAGTAGAGAATATCATGTCTCTATGTGACAGAGATGTGGAGTGGAATTAAAATTATGCATCTTTATTTACTTTTTCTATATGTAAGGTGAACGACGAATGAATGAACGAATATACTTTAAACAAACAACATAAGACCTGGGTAGACTGGTGCCTAAGGCTGCTGCCCTGGGTTCGCCGCCCTTTTGTTAGATGAGAATAACAACATGATGAAGGGAAAAAAATCTCACACTAAATCACTGAACTGGATAAAAATGATGCTTTGTATGTTACAGAACATTATAAAGATCATTCAGGAATCTAAACATGTCGACTAATTTTATTACAAATAATTCAGATGTTTGGTTGCGTGTGTTTTAATTCATTATGATCCTGTTTGTGTCCAGGTGAAAGCTGCTGCTGTCCAGAATGTCACCATGCAGATTGTTGGGATCATAGAAGCGGAAAAGGAGCAGTCTGAGATTTACGTGCTGATCAACCAAAAGACCAGATCCTTCCTCATTAATTCTCCTCTCCTGGCTGAGGTTTTTGGTGTCAAACTGGATGACGACTTCAAGTTCAGACTTTTGGAGAAAATTCCGTTTTCAGCCAAAGGAAAAATAAAACAAAACAAAATCCAGGCTCTTAAAGCTGCGAAAGCCAAGAAAACTTAATAGAACCAGAAATTTTACAGCTGAATGAGTTTTTTAAGTTAAAATCCTAAATGTGCTAATGGTGGAGAAACAACTTACCATTACAGTAAAACTTTATCTGCCACCATGCTAACTATACTAGCTCTAGTGTAACAAAGACCAGGGCGGAACAACCAATCAGAACCAGGAGGCTCTCTGATTGGTTGCTTCTAGTTGGCACTGGGAGAAGGCAGAGGAGATGGTGACAGTTTCAACAAATACTTTAAAAATTATTTTTATAAAATTTACATGCTGCTGCTTTAAGGTCATAGCTGACATTAAAATATTCACTTCAAGGAAGAATTGATTCAGTAGTTTCAATTATAATGTTTATGTCAACGTGGTAGGAGTTCATCCTGCAATCGGTAGGTTGTCAGTTCGATTCCCACTCTGTCCTTCTCTGTTGATGTCCAACAGACACGTCACCCGCCTCGCCTGCTGCTGCTGGTCAGAGGGTTCAACAGGGGGCGCCGATTCATGGCAACCTTTGTCAGACTACCTCAGGGCAGCTGTCGCTACTGTCCAGTAGCTCACCACCACCAGTGTGTGAATGACTGAATGTAGTGTAAAGTGCTTGAAGTCCTCTGGATTTTATACAAGAACAGGGAATTTTCTCTTTTTGACAAGTTTGTTGTATTTACAGTCGATCTTAACTTTTCATCTAAATCAACTATTAAAGGTCCTTCTAAGGATGGCTGATGTGAATTAGCTATGCTAATTTGATTGTCTCGATGTGTTTCTTGAATCTGTCTCTATCAAATAAACAGTACCAAAAAAAATCCACATCTCAACGCTTTTTCACTGAGATCCACTTTCTTACAGGGAGAGTACTCCTTTTTCAACCAAGGCAAGAGACTTTAATTCACTTTTGAGCAGAGACTTAGGCACAGAGATACCATAATGTGTAGCAATTTTAGATAAATCAGCTTTTCTACAAACAGGATTACTTAAAAACTCCTCCATACTAAACTGCCATGCTCAAAATAATCCCGGATGAGCCCCCACTTATGTTATACTTTCTGAACATGGGTTTGACAAAAACTTTGTGACAATAACGTTTTAAAGCTGTTATTAAGCCACAGCTTAATAACGGCAGTCTTCAGCACATCTTCAGTGTGCTGGAATGAGAAGGACTTATTTTGTGGATGCAGTGTAAACCCTGATATGTAAGAATTTCTTATTGCATGTAAAACTGGTTGGAACTGACTCAAACTTCTCTTGAATTTTGGCTTGAATGACTGAATGTAGTATGATGCGCTTTGGTTTGCAATAAACCAGACAAAACAATGTAACATTCCAGGCCAAGTGATTTTAGAAGACAAAACTTTATCTCAGACTTTTCTGTTAAATTGGATTTCATGCAACTGTTTAATGGATTCAACACATGAATATCAATGACTTCATAAGAAAAGTGAAAGTAGCTTAGCTCTGAAGAGATAATTGAGAGTGAAAGGACATACACTGCCTTCTGTTTCTGCTTGTCCTGTATTGGGATAAAATGGTTTTCTGGACAAAATGAATCTCATAGCAACTAATCCAATCCAGTAATACATATCAATTAGCAGCAGTATGAAATGCATAAAAATAATTAACAATATTAAGAAATAATATTTAATCCACAGTGCTACATGAAGCTCATTTTGAAACAATGCAAGTTAAAAATATTTTGCAACAAATAAATCAAGTAAATTAAGTCTAATGTTAGGCCTATGAAAGCCAAATGTGAGAATGAGACATATTAGGTAGGTAGGTAGGTAGGTAGGTAGGTAGGTAGGTAGGTAGGTAGGTAGGTTGGTAGGTAGGTAGGTAGGTAGGTAGGTAGGTAGGTACTGGCATATGAAGCCACCCCTGAAAAAATCCCTGCCCCCCTCTTGCCACCCCATAAATATTTTTCTAGATCCGCCCCTGCTAATGTCGTTCAAGGAAGCGGAGTGTACAAAGAAATGTTTGTCAGTAAATATCTAGTCTGAGCTGTAAATATTTGGATAAATAACTATTTTTAACTATAAAAACTGAAAAATATATCTGCAAATATAACATACATTCTTCAAACGACGATGGCATTTGTTGAGTGAAAAACTAACCAGCATTTCCCCTTGATTTAATAGATCAGGAGAAATGTGCGTGAGGAAGAGACTCAATACTTACAGTTTGTATTTGCATCACTTGTACCATGAATGTAAATTCAACTAAAACAATTTATATTTTAATGAATGAATGTTTATTTCAACCAACAAAAAAAGGAAATGGATAAAGTTGTTTATTTTGAAATCTTCATTCTGGATTATTGAACAAGAATATTTTATTTTAAAAGGCAGAAAAATTAACTTGTGTTTTGTTTTTGAACTACTCCAGGCTGAGTAGTTTAAAACGTTCCCACCTGACCAAACATCCCCGCACTAAAACATTCAGTTTCTTTGTTCACAAACGAAACTGAACATTTCATGTTTTGCAGCCAGAGGCAGATGAGAAGCTTTTCATTTACGCGAGGGAGTTTATACTCTGCTGTGGGAATAAAACTCCAGTCTGAGGTTAAATCAAACTTTAAGCTCAGAGAAAGTCTCAGTTTAAAGTTTCTGCATCAAGTTTATTAGTAAAAGTTTCTGACTGAACCTTTTGGAGAAACGTCTGCTGAATCCATTTTTCTGGCACCAGGAACTTTCAGCTTCCAGATTTTCTATTTTTTATTGGTTTCATCAGCAGTGAGCACAAAATAACAGGAAAAGGTGAGTTTTACAGCTGGACCAGTTCAAACGGGTTATTTTTTACTGGTTCTTATGGTTTTTACTGGTCTAAGATTAGTTTATTCATGTTTTTTCTGAATGACTAACAAACTGGTTAAAATGAGCCTCTTTGCATTCTGATTGAAATGTTCCCTTGTTTTTCATCTCATAATTTAACTAACAATAATCCTGTTAGAAATTTAGAAGTAGTTATTCAGACCTTACAGTATTCATTTTAATTTATATCAGAACAGAGAGCTCTGTTAAATCAATCAAGTTTATCTGAATAAAACATTTCAGTAAAGAAGCAGTTCAAATGATTTACATCATAAAACATAAAAATGTTATAAAAACATCAGACAGTGACCAACTGAGGAACCAGTAACAACCAGGTGGGTGTTCAGTTTAGGTTTAAAGGAAATCAGTGTTTTGGCTGTTATTCAGTTTTCTGGAAGTTTTTTCCAGATCTGTGGTACATAGAAGCTGAATGCAGCTTCTCCACTGAGGACATCACTTCATCAATGATGTCCTCAATGGAGAACAGAACCAGAACAAGACGCTGTCAGTAGCAACTTGAAAATGTAAAATGCTGAACTGCAGATCACATTTATCTAAATTAAATTCAAGCTGACAGTTTTAATTTTGTTTCTGGATGTGATGAAGCTGCTGAACCTCATGGTCCAATAGAAACAGCTTCTAGTTGAAGTTGCTAAGTTACTGAAGAGCAACTTGTTGATCAAAGTGCAGTAAAACAGAGTTTACACTGCAGGGTAACACATGTAGACCTGCAGTGACTATAAAGAAGGAAATAAAACAGACTGTGCTGCTGCTGCATCATCATGATTCTTTAATTTCAGTCAAAAATTAACAGCAGAACCAAAACCACAAGACCAGGACAGAACTGAGAGGAACTCTGAGGACAAGGTGTGGTCTTAAAGCTTTAAGCTGAAGCATCAGGTTTTGGTTCACACTGAGTGACCATATTTTAATAAACTTAAAACCTGGTTTAGTTTCCTGATAAAGGGTAAAAAACAGTAATTATTTTGAAAAGATTTTAAGGTTAATTTCTTAAGAACCAATTTTCTGATTAGAAGAGACATAGAAACCATGAGAGTTTCAGGTGGTTCTGATCTCCTCGAGACCAAAATTCTTCTGTCTAACCTGGACCCAACTAAAGCCTTAACCTTTAACCTCTTCATAAGCGATGTCCTCAAACAGTTCGGTCAGAAAAGAGACCTGGTTCCTTTAAATCTGAGTCTCATTCAGTCAACCTGCTGTTCAGAGGTCAGGGGTCAATGTCTGCACGGATGGATCACCTGCAATCAGATCAGTGGTTGAAGAAATTATGATCATTTTGTTGACATTTCCTTCTTTCTGCATCACAGATGTCAAACATCTCAGAAGACGAGTGGAGAGACGCCATGACCAAGATCTTTGAGAAGCTATCAGATAATCAGTACAGGAAAGTGAAGGAGCTATTGAATGAATATGGATATGACTCACCAACCAAGATGACTGCCAAGTTTAAAAAAGAGCTGCCTGAAAAGCTCATTCAGAACTTTGGAATAGAGAAATCCATTCACTTAGTCAACGAAGCAATGAATAAGATACCAAGGAACGACCCAGGAGTCCAGGACCTTCTGCGTCCTTTTATGGACAAACTGAAGAGACAAGAAGAAGGTGAGTTTCCAGTTAATGTGGTGTGTATCATGGTCAGGGCTGATCAGTAACCAAACCCCTGATTACCTGATTCAGAGGAGAATAAGAAGAAGATCTATGGATGGAGGAGGTTTCTGGGTTCAGTCTGAGACAGTATCAGAAACTGTTGGTGTTGTTTTTCATTCCAGCTGAGCTTTATGGTCGTGTTCAGGTCAGCAGCTCTCCTTCGTGACATTCAGTCTTTGTTTTCCTTAAGAGCTGTTTGTATTCAGTAGCTTCAGACTAAATGTTGTGGTCTACAGAACCACCTTCATGTTCAGACAGCAGTTAGCAGTTAGCCTGACACGATGCCCCTGCTGGCAGCAGTGTGGTATTGTCCCGGGTTGTGGTGAGTCAGTGGGGTCTGAGGTCACTGTGGGAAGGTGATGCTGATGTTCAGAGATCATCTTAGTAATCCACTGCTAGCAGGAGGAGAACCCTGCTAGCAGTGTAGCATCTGCTCACCATGTACTAATGGGTCAAAGGTCAAATATGTCAGATTAAATAGTGTTTTTACCTGAAACATCTCAATGTGTTTCTGTCTTTTAAAGGTCCAGAGACGAGCAGCCAGCCAAAGGTGAGAACCTGTTCTGACACAAATCAAAACCTCCTCACCTTCCGGTCGTCTTAGACACGCTCAGCTCATAAAATGCTTGAAACATGTGCTGCTGCTTTCTGTAGACGGATTCTGCTGGAGCAGAGGAGCCAGAGCAGAACCAAGGTGCTTCATCTGGATCAGCTCACAGTCCACAGGTAGAACATGTGGAGGCTGCATCTCATTTTGAAACCCTGATTTATTTCATGATGTCAGTTCAGAAAGTTAAATTCATACAGGTGCATTATAAAGAGTTGTTTTTAATTTAAGTTCAAAGACAATCTCCATTTTCTCTCAATCCAGCTTATTTGTTTAGCACATTTCAGCAACAACACAGTTCAACGTGCTTTACATCATAAAGCATAAAAAACATCATAAACACATCATCGTCAAAGATTGTAAATCCAGTAACAAACATTACATTTTGTCGAGTGCCATCATCAAAATCATCATTACGCATTAGCCACGTTAATCAGTCTTTCAGTCTTTATTGGTCAAAAGCAACTCTACTCTGGTTTTGTCTTGATTTTCGTGACTTACAACTATTAAAATATTACATGAAGAAAACTGCTGAGCTGACAATTATCAGGCAGTCAGTGATTCTCTAGAAGGAGGAGAAGCAGCAGAGAGGCATTTCAGAGAACAAATCTAATAAATGGAAAGTTTAGTGGAGGGACATTTGTGGTAGAAAATCAGAATCCAGATTAGATCTTTGAATCATGACGGTCTTCATCTAATAAACTGTTTTTTTTTCCTTTCAGAAAATGTTAAGTCCTGATCTGGTGAGTAAAAACCTTGGTGTTCATTAACAGCCAAGAGTTTTGCTTTATATTTCCGTCTGTTTTTGTTTGTTTGTTTGTTTTATTTGTGATTGGATCTGTTTTCATTTTTTATCTCATCTTCTTGGTCCAGAGAAAAACCATCAGGGATCTGAAGGCCAGTGGAGATCTGGGTCAGAAGGTTCTGACTGTGAAGGTCGTACAGAAGTCCAACCTATACCAATATAAAACCAAAACCAATGAGACCAAGTTTTATTTCTACCTGGGAGTCGCAGATGAGACCGATGCCATCAAAGTTGTGGTGTTTGGAAGAGAGCGGTTTCCAACCATTGAGGAGGGCCACTTCTACACCATCAGGGATCCCCTCATGGATCGTCAGGAGAACGTTTTGAAAGTTACAGAAAGGACCAGGACATCAGAGACCGGCTCGTTGGAAATTCCCAGAAATGTGGAGCTGGAAGCTGAAAAACTTATTTTCAGTCCAGTTTACAGCATTGGAGACATCCAGAGCTTTGGAGACAAGATGCCAGTGAGTGTTGAAGGCACCGTGAAGGAGGTGAGAGTCATTTATGAAGCTCTCTGTCTGCTCCTCATCATCAGCGTTTAGTTTTTAGAGGCAGCTTAACTGAGAATTTCAGACTTTTAATACATCTGATCAAATCATCAAACCTTCAGAAAATGACATGATTAATAGCGCCCTCTACAGTTCTGGTAAATATTTCACATTTATCTTTTAAATTCACACTGTAAAATGGAACAGACTTTTAAATTGTAATTAATGACTTCCTGTTCTTATGAAAGGACACAAAGAGACATTTTTCAACACTCTTCTAAATGGGAAAGAGAAGAGAACATTTCGTTAATGCAGACCAGTCAAGTTCTGAGCTTTAAGTCAGGAAATGGAAACAAGAAATTTTAAATGTAAACTTTTTATCTGCATTTAGAGAAACAATTATAACATTTAAACCAACTGGATCTGCCACCAGGACACTCATCTCCCATCATGCACTTGGAGCAGGATGCTGTCCTGTGGTTTCCTGTTAATAACTATTAATAATGATAAAAGTTTAAACCAGTGTTTCCCAGCCCTGGTTCTCAAAGCACACTGCCCTGCATTTCCTTTCTTCAGTCCAGCTGATTTCAGTCGATGACTGATCAACAGGCGTTTGCTGAACTGCAATCGGCTGAATCAGGCTGATCACTGTGTGCCTTGAGGACCAGGGTTGGGAAAAACTGGTTTAAACCATGGTTTAAAAGTTGCAGACCTGCACCTGTTTCAGCAGGAAGTCATGTTTGTTTCTGACTCAGACTTCCTGCTAGCTCCCCCGGCCCCTGCTGGGGCAGAGAGGTATTACACTAGAGTTGTGTTTTACAGGAAACCTAAATCCATCATGCAGCGTATCTGTAGATCTGACCGATGATGGACAATAAAACATTTGCTTATAAAAATGTTAAATTTGCAAAGTGTTCATTTGTTTCCAGAGTCGACTGAATCTTGTGTTTTGGGTTTGAACAGATCGGAGTCATTAAATCCATCGAGATGAAAGCTAAACCGATGAAGAAAGACAAGCAGAACTTTGAGCTGGAGGACGGTACCGGGTCCATCACAGTGGACTTGTGGGGTGAAGACACCAAACACCTGAGAGGGATATCAAATGGAGACGTGGTCCTGGTCAACAACTTAAAGACAAACCTCTTTAATGGCAGAGTTTCTTTAAACTCCACTGACTCCACCAGAATCATCAAGGTCAGAATGAAATGAACATTTCAGATTTTCTGTTTGTATTTGATTTGTTCAAACTGGCTGTAAATTAGTGAACTTAAAAACTGAGTTATTGTTATAACTGGCAGATGAATGTTAAAGGGTTTGAAATGCTGCAGACAACCTGATATCTTCTGTTTCCTTGGGCTTTGACTTAATTTAGTTCTTCTGGTTTTGGTTCCTTTGGCTTGTATATTTTGATTCTGTCTGTTTTCAGTCATGTTTCCTCGGTTTAATCAGCTCCTCTCACAGCTGCATTGTGTTCAGTTCATTCGACTCGCCTGTTCCTCTTCCAGAGATCTTTCATCCTCAGTTTTTGTTCACGTTTCTAGTAAATTCTCTCACATGATTGTCCAGCCATCTATAAACCATGATGGCAGATACTATGACCTTTGACCTGTTATAAGTATCATAGTTAATAAAAATCAGTAATAATCTGTGTGCCATCCTGTTCCTGCTCAGGTCCAAAGTGCTCCAGTCCAGGATGTAAACATCACGATCATAGGAATCAGTAAGTTTGACATGATCGGTGCTGAGCTGGAGGTTCAGATAAAAAACCAGGTGAAGACGTTGGAAGTTTCCTCTGCCGTCCTGGCCAAAGGGGTTGGTCTCTGCCTGGAGGATGACTTCAGAGCCAAACTTCTGGAGAAACTCAACCTGAAAGCCAAAGCTCAAATACAAGGAAACAAGATCAACCAGCTTAAAGCCGTAGCCTGAACCTCCTCAGGTTCTGATTCACATCCACTTCTGTTGGACTCTGTTGCTGCCATCTAGTGGCAGGACAGAAAAGCTTTCAGCTGGGATTTTGCTTAATTTGTTCTTGATTATGAAAAATTGTCTTTGGCTTCAGTTTTAAACTAAAAATCTGCTGGAATAAACATCAGAGAGCTACTTTACTTTCTTCTGCTGCATCTTCTTACATTTGGATCACTTTTACAATATTCTATGCAAATCAATGCTGCTATCTTTGATCTTATTGACCTTTGACCCTTTACTTTGATTTATTGTCAAAGTCTGAAATAAACTGATGCTACAGTTTGAGAATTAGATTTTTTGGATTCATTTTGTGCGCTCAGG